AGGCCATGGGCTGGAGCATCCTGCCCGGGACCGGTCCTCGTCGGCATGGCTCCACGGGGCTCATCCAGGGGCGGGTGGTCGTGGCTGTTTGCAGAGTCGTGGCTCGTGGTGCCCTGGGTGGGCAGGTGGTCCTCCGAGCGGGGCACACCCGTTGCATCCTCCTCCTTACCCATGAGGTCACGGATGGCATATTTGGGAGCAGCTGTCCCCGCATCCTCGGGGACCACGCTCAGGAGGTCATTCATGGCTAAACCCCCAGGCTCCGTCTCTCCTTCGCTCTGCACCGGAGCAAGAGCGTTTGCTTCACTGGTCACTAGATTGGCCTCAATTCCCCCTCCTCCTGGCTTGACCGTGTGCAGGACATCGGTGGGCATCCCGCGGGACCCCTCCACGTCGTTGGTGCTCAGCTCTGGCTTATGCCCCTCGCCTTTGGTCTCTTTCTCCATGAAGGGATAGTAAGACAGATCCTCATGGAAGTTGATAAAATTATAATCGTAGTAAAAATCATCAACAAAGACATTTCCCTTCTTGGTTGAGAAGTCCTCCTCAGTGATGACATTGACATCATTGGACTCTGGAATATTTGGAATTAAGGGGTTAAATTTAGCAATGTGGTTGCTGGGGATGTAATGGATTTCATTAAATATCTCTCTGCTGGAGGACCCACTGCCAGACCAGTCCGTGTTGGCATTGTCTAATTCCTCCTGGCACTGCGGCGAGGAGCAAATAGTTTCCGAGCTGGGTCTTTCTGCAGGGTCACAAGCTGCTCCAGTGCTGTTGCTGCAGTAAACTGGGCGCCTTTGTGTCCCGTTTCCACAGGTCGTGGAGCACTGGGAAAAGGAGAAAGACACAACCGTCGGGGACAGGAGATGACGGCGCAGGGTGCAGCAGGGGGAGCGGGGAAGGGGCTGGCAGCGGTGCTGCAGCAGTGCCCATGCCCCGTGCTGCTGCTCCCCCCCGAGATACCGAAGTGGGTGCTCGTCGATGCTTTGGGCACAGGGTGAAGGGGCTCCACGTCGCTCTGCCACACTCCCACCACCCACCTGGGTCCTGAGATGTCTCCTGTGCCAGCCCCACCAGTGGCACGGCATCCCCTGTACCAGCGGTCAGGAGCAGGGGGTACCGGTCACACCGGTAAGCAGTGTTATTACCAGCCAAATCTATCTCTGGGGCCGTCTCCCCGTTAGAGACCACCCCAGTGCAGGGCTGGTACTGCCGGGTACTTTGCTCGTGGTGATCCTTGACCTGCTCTCCAGCCAGAAGCAATTTTCCCAGGAGATGGACATTGTGAAGGGCACTGGGTGAGATGATCTAATAGGTCTTTTCTACGACCTATCGCCATGAATTACATCTCTTCTTCTAGAAGAGAATTTTTTGAAGCAGAGGATAATAACATGGGTGTTGCCCTAGTAGGGAAAAAGCAAGGGTCAATAAGCAGCTTTGTTGAGGACACTCCCTCCTCCACCACAATGGTCTCTTTGAAATCATTCAGTATAAAAGAAACCCACAAGCTGGAAAGGAGGACGGCAAAATTTTCTGCTGGATAAGTAAATCATAGCGCTGCTAACATCCCGTGTGGGCTGCACAAGCCACGGGCCGCGCACTGTGGTGACAGATGCACTGAGCATCAGTCACGTACATCAAAGTGCCTTACACGACCCAGCTGAGGAGAACAAACGGTCAATGAGGCAAACGAACCCCACTGACGGGATTTCTGCTGAGATTTTGCTGCTCTTTGGATGCAAAGGGATGGGCTGAGGTGAGGGTTTGATGCGCAGCCACCAGCATGTGGCGGACAGGCAGAGCTGCCGGGCTGGGCTGGCCGGGAGACGTGCTCCCCAGACACGATCTGTTCCCGTATTTTGGGCCTTTCTCGTCTTTGCTCAGCCCTGCAAGGGCCAGGTGCCTGGTTGGGACCTGCCCCGCTCCCCGTGCCGGTGCTGGTGGGACAGCAGGGGCTGGCTGGAGGAGATGCTGGCCCAGCATCCAGGACCCTGTGCCGTGCTATGCCGTGCCGTCCACGGCCTCCCCAGCTCCGCGTCCCCTGGGCAATGCCGGGTAGGACCAGAAGCGACCCTGAGGACTGTGCCTGGCAGGAGGGATGGTCCACAACACCACATGGCCACTGCCAGCATTGCTGAAATAAAGCGTTACCAGACATTAACATCTGCAGGAGGGGGCAGGCAAGCTGCTTCGCCCCCCTGGGACAGCAAACCAGGGAAAACAGAGGTCAACTCCCGCAGCGTGTGCCTGAAGCTAAAATTTCTCAGCAAATGCTTCCAGCTCCATCCAGGAGATAAATTCCAGGTATGGCAGCTCCTGCAGGAGGAAGGAGGGGGCTTATTTGCCAAGGCTGGGTTATCAGGAAAGCCCCCGGGGCACAGATAAGGAAGGACGGCTGTTAGGAGCCTCACGCAGGGACACCCAGAGCTCGCAGGAGGGCTCAGCACCAAGCACACGGCTGCGGGAGGCGTCACGGCAGGCTCCACGGTGGGACGGGCTCCTGCCAGGAGCCAGACACTCCCGTTGGTGTATTAATGGAGAGCAGGTGATACCTCTGACCACCGGTAACTTCTCTGGAAAGTTCATACAGCTGGATATACATTGCTTTAGGGCCCTTCTGAAGAACTAAGTCTCAGGTTTAAGCACTTGGTGGGGCTACCCAAATTGCAAATACCCCCTTTGGCTTCGTGGGCCACCTGGGTGCTGCCAGTGCCTGGCAGGGGTACGTGCTGCCCTGCCCGGGGGTCTGCAAGGACAAAAAAAGGCAACAAGCCCCTATTATTCTCGCTGGACAGAAGGACCACCTTTCTGGGAAGCTTCCAAGCCCCTCAAATTTCTCTACTTACTGGCAGTGGTGGAAATGGGGAAGAAAGAAAGCTCTTGCTTTAAATGAAAGGAGGACAGAAAAATTACAGACATCTCAAAATCTCGAGCACATTTTTCCTGGGCTCACAGATCCGCCGATGTCAACACCACAAAGGACGACTGTGACGGCGTGGGCTGGCTCCGTGCACAGACCCGCGGGCAATTCATGATTTTCCCTTTAAACTGTCGTGGCCGTTGTTTCTCAGCCCTGCAATTGTGGCTTTTGTGGGCCCCTAGAAAAATATTTCTAAATAGCTCTCATTTAGCCTTCAATTTTTCTGTTCACATTTTTTTTCCATTTGTTTCTTAGCAACAAGCTCAGTTCCCAGGCTCTCTCATTTCTCTCCCGATATTTGTCTTCACGCTGAACACTTTTTGAAACCACTGCTTAAATTAGGAGTTATAACTTTCTGGTTAAACCCCTCAACCTGCGGTTAAGCCGATCCACAGAAATACAAAAATAAATAAAGGCTTCACAGGGCGTCCACAAACCGTGGTGTTTTATACATGGGGGTTTTTTTGGTCTTTCCCTCTCTTTTTAAAGAAATTGTTGAAAAATTCACGATGCCCCCCCCATTCCCTGGGGGCATCGCTGCGGGGGTCTCGCTCTCTGCCCACCCCTGCAGCAGAGACGGGGCAGCTTCGCCCCAGCACCAGGTCACGCTGCGGGGGAGCAGATGCCCACTGGCCGGCGCACACACGCCTGGTGCACCCAGACCCCGGCTCACCCCCAACACCTTGCTCCAGCAGGCAAGAATTCTCTCTGAGGCTTCTGCTGAAACACAGGGGAAGGCTTGTGGTGCTGGAAAACACACCGGAGGGTTGAAAGCCTCTTGTTTCTGCCCTCCTTGCATCAAGCATGGAGCACGGCCAGCCCCCTGACTGAGGGAGCAGCAAGGCTCAGAGAAGATGCGGCAGAGTCACACAGCCCGGTGCTCCTTCCTCACTCCGAGACCTCCCCGTGGAATGAAATCCCTGTCCGTGTGAGCTGGTGTTACAGCGGGAGCCCATGGAAACACCCCCCTGGGTTTCCCCTGTAGGCAGGAGCACACCCATCGCCCTCGGGCAGGCTGAGGATGTCCAGGGGGCACTTTGTCCCCAGCTTTGCAAGACACCGGGACGCTCACCCGACGCTCCTTCTCACCTCGGACCAGTTGCCCACGGCCCACTGGGAGGGACAGGGGACCTCTCGGTGACAAGGAGCGGTGGCGTCCGGCTTGGAGAGGTGCTGGCAGTCTGCTTGCTGCAAGGCCCTCTGCTCGTCCAGCCCCACGCTCTGGATGCAGAGCACCGTCCTCTTCATCAGCCCCGAGGGGCCGCAGGTGGCCGAGCATTTCTGCCACTCGCCGACCCACCACCTGGGGAATCGGGAAAGGGGAAACGTCTCAGCCGGAGCGAGCGGCCACGAGCCGGGCTCCACCCCGTGCCCCGCCACGCCGAGCACCGCAGGGCGGTGGGCTTTAGCCACCGCCATTGGGGCTGGGAGATGTACCCCAGACACACGTGGGCTTCAGCAGCCTACAACCACCAGCGGGGCCCAGGGTCGTGGGGGAATTAGGATCCCAACCGCGGCTTCTGTTTCAGCCTGGACCAAGGCTCAGGGATGGATTAGTCCCTGCGCTGTGTGGGGGATGGCTATTTGCAGAGAGGGGCTCCCAGCCCTGCCAGGATGGCGCCTCCCCATGCAGCTCGTGGTCGGCAATCGGGCACCCAAAGGGATTTGCTCCCATGGACCAACCCGGGATGTGGGATCCGTTCTCAAGCGCGAGGGAGAGGAGAGGTGCAAACCCAGGGGTGCAAATAGCTGCACGTGTCCTGGTGCAACCCGGGCACGGCAGCAGCTGAGGTCACCCCAGCCCTGGTCACCCCCTCAGGGCAGTTCGGAGACTAAAGGTTTGCTGAGAAGGGGCGAGGGGCAAGCCAGCGGACCTGGCCGGGCAGGGCTCCTCGCTGCACGTCCTCTGCTGGTCGTCGGGGCGGGTGAGCGCGTCGCAGTACCGCTCCTCCACGATGCCGGCCAGCTTCTCCACGCAGTGCACGATCTGCCGCTGCACCCCTGCGGACACAGGCAAGGGCTTGCCTCGAGACGAAAACCGAACCGAACCACCGAGCAGTGAGAGGGGGCCCTAAGGTCACCCTGAGCCACCAAAAACACGGGAAAGAAAATGAAACCACCACTGAAACTGAAAGTCAAGAGACCTCTTCTGCTGTACCTGGGTGGCAAAGGCAGAGCTGGACACCTGGCCTCAATCCCCCGTGTGTGCGATGGGACCTATGGAGCTCAACGGGGCCGGAAAACAACGTGGCTGCAAAGCAGGGACGCCTGGGATGGGGTGGATGGATGGACAGATATGAGCAACACCAGTCCAGCCAGGACACGGGCTCCCAGGCACTACAAGCAGCAAACCGCAACCAAAGTCCCTCACTGGGGCTGGTGGGACACGACGTCTGTCTGTCCAGCACAAGGCAAACCTCGGCTCCTGCCCCGACACTGAGCCCAGGGCTGCTCAGGCAGAAAGCTAAAAACACATCGCAGAAAGCGTTGGCAAACCTTGTAC